AGGGAGGCTTTGGTGATGGGACATAATAACTAACTACATTGTATATTGACAAAATAAAAATTAAAAAAAAAAAAAAGCTTAATGTTAAATATGTATAAACACAGCTTTAAGAATTCTACCCTTTTGTGATTTATCAAAATAAAACCACCTCCAAATACAGCCAGCTAACCAAAAAATGAATAAAAATAAAAACTTAGGAATGGAAAAATCCTGGCCAAGGGACTGGTAGTAAGTCCATAATCCATTTAAATAAAGATTAAACAACTATGGGAATTATGGATACAGAAAAGAATGTTAAGTATTATAAACTTTAAAGAGGTAAGAGAACATAACTAATAAAATTAGAAGGAATGTGGAGGGGAGGTTGGGAAGCAAGTACGAACCCATGTGAATTTCCTTATTGGCAAAGTGTCACAGATATCACAAAAACTGAAATGTAATTATAAACATACAAGCATAATAATTTCAATCTATTAAAGTGATTCAGATATTTTAACTTTAAAGAGATTTATAAAGTGATAATATTTGGGTGGCCAGTTGGCTCAGTTTGTAAGAGTGTGGCCTTGTAACGGCAAGGTCAAGGGTTCAGTTCTCCATACTGGTCAGCTGCCAAAAAAAACCCCCCAAAACAAAAGACAAACAAAAAACAAAAAAAGAGTTAATATAGTGAAGAAACATTTATATTTATCCAAAACTTAGAAATTCCTCAGTTCTACATGAGCTTCCTACAGAAGACTGAATACTATATTTTTAAAAGCAAGCATTATTTGATCTAATCTTTCTAAAACTATATCAATCTAGGCAGACAAAAAAATATTGGGAATGATGTTCACCAAATGATAATGATGGTTATTTCGGGGTGATAGAATGAACATACTGTAATTTAAAAAGAAATCCTTCTGTGTAACTTTCTGTACTACATGATTTTTTTAAATGGTGAGTATATATCATTACACAAAAAAGCGTCTTTTAATAAAGAAAAAATCTTATCCATATGTGACTGTTTGTTACACACAATTTATATTCTAAAGAGTTTTCATAATTTATGACCTCGAAAAATCCTTGACAAAAACTTAAAGGAGAAATTTACCCATCTCATAAGAACAGAAAGCATACCAAGATTTATTATTTTCATTGTAACATGTATGGCTTAAACATATATGAAAAATTAACCCTGCTTCCTATTTGAAAAACCAGGGCAGCAGAAAAAGACCAGGCAGTGTCAAGCCAGAGGCTTGAGTCCTGAGTCCTAAGAGGCAGGTAGAGAGAAGTTAAGGCATATGATAATATAGTTTTACTTCTTTAAACTACTGCAGAATTTGGCTGTCAAATCACATTTCATTCCCTTAGCTTCTGCCTTCATTGCTATAACTCTCACTTGCACCACACTCAACTATACTTCCTTCAGTTTTGTTTTCCTCCTTTATACAGTCTGAGATCTGTTATAGCACTGATTCCAACCTTGGCTGCCATTGGAATTCAGTAGGAATCTTTAAAACGTACTGATAACTGGCTCCTAGCCCCCGATATTTTAATTTAAGTGATGTTGATACAGCCTGAGCAACGGGATTTTTCAAAGCTCTCCAGGTGATTCTAATGTGCAACCAAGGTTGGGAACTACTGTGTAATAGCCTCCTTTGTCCTTTTTTCAGCTTTCTCTGACTCCCTTGAGGGCTATCCTCCAGTTCTTTGTGCTCACTTTCATCCACAGGGAATAGAAGAGATGATAAATGACGACATATCCATAGTACCACCACATAAAATATACAAAATCTCAGTCCAAGGACAACAGCAACATCTAGTACTCATGCACCTTAAGTTTTGCAGCACAGCCAAATCCAAGAATATAAAGCCTTTTGTGAGAACAAAGAGGCCACATGCTCCTCATAATATCTTCAGGAGTCTTATACTCCTGGGAACACTAAAAAGTGATTAAAATCCAGTTGAATTAAACTCAGGTGGCTAAAAGAACAGTGGAAACAATTAATTCCTAGTCTCTAACCAGAACAGGATTTAAAATGTCTAATAGTCATTCTCTTACCTCTCGTTGCTGCTGGTTCAAATTATGTGAATTTCTCTGGCAAAGAGCAATTGTTTCTACCATGGTATCTTCAATATCCTTTAATGAGGGATCCTCTTTGGTATCTAGATTCAGAAAAAGTACAAACATCACCTAAGGATATATTACCAATAATCTCAGAGTTTCTGTGAAAAATCAAATTCTTTTTCTTCTTTGTGTAGCCTTAGTTTTCTATCATCTAATCATCCATAAGACCTGATACCAAGGTTTGGGAGATTAAAAACCAGACAATTCTGTGCAATAGGAGTTTTCCATTTAAATGTTTAATATTCACAGTACATATAAAGCACATCATACTTAGCATTTCAATATGCTTTAGCTATGAAAAATCCCCAATCATCTGTTTGTGGATTAGTTATGAGAGAGATTACTCTTCATCTTTCTTGCTCTACATCTTTTCCTCTGCCTATTTCTTAGATGTAGGTATTTCCCCACGATACTATTTTAGGCCCTTTTCTCTTCTCATTTTTCAATGATTTCAGCCACTCTTTTAGTTTCAACTCTCGTGTCTTTCCTAATAACTTTAAAATATACATCTCCAGACTTTATTACATTCATAATCTGCAGATTAAATTTTCTAATGAACCTAGGACATCTATCTCCACATGGATGTTCTGGCAAGCATTTTGAACTTGATATGTGCAAAATCCAACTTATTTTTCTCATTTCAAACCTGTTCCTTTCCCTACATTTCCAAACTAAGTTAATAAAACAATCATCTTTAAGTCAACCAGTGTGGAGGGTATTAACATTAATAAAGCACATGTATTTTACAGGGCCTAACTTTTTAGAATTGCACATAGAAATGTTAAGGTTGGGAAAGACAGAAAACTTTCGCTGGGTTAGATAAAGAATTGTAACACAGCAAAATTGCTGGCTCTAAGGGCAGATGTCATTAGTATAGCTAAACCTAATGATTGTTGCCATGACAATTATCTTACTGTTCCTTTTGTAACCACCTATGTTCCTTTTCTGTAACTTTCTTGCCTGGAGAATAAATACTGAGAGAAAACCCTAGTTCGGGGTTATTTCCCAAGGAATGCTTCTCTCTTGAGGGTTCCTGGGAATTAACCCCTTCAGGGCCTCTCAGTAGTCAGAAGAAATGGACTTTGAGTAGTCCTTTGCATCTCTGTCACCCTGGGGGTGAGGTGACAAACCAGTTTATAAATCTTCATCATTGATGCTTTCCTCTCCTTCACACTACACATTCAAGTAAATAGTTAATTTTGTTAATTCTCCTCTGTATTCTCATATGCCCACTACTTTTACTCTGGTGAAGCTCTTCATCACCTCATCTGTGCTATAAAAACAGCCTTAAATTGAACTTTTGACTTCCAAATCTTGCTTATCTCATTCACTTTTATACTGTCACTAGGGTTTTCTTAAACGTGCGTTCAAACAGATCACTCCCCTCCATAAAAACCATCAAAGATTCTCAATTCTTAAAAATAGAGTGTGAGGAAGCCTCTGACCCTTAAACAGAGTAAAGATTCAGGCTCATCTCACCTATGTCACCAGATTATTTCATACTCTCTGAGGTTACTAGCGAGGCACTTCCATGCTCACATAGTCCTCAGCCTAGGAGGTCATTTCCCTGCTGTTGTCTATCAAACTCCTATTCACCGTTCCAGTCTTACTTCAAAGGTCACGTCCACTACAAAACTCTCCCTGATTAATGGGTTATAAACAGTCCCCTAATTTTCCACACTCCTTTTGTTATTGTATCTTTTATAACACTCCACTCTAGTTGCATTCAAAGTTTTTATTTACATATCTGTCTCTTTCATGAGACTGTAGTTCTTTAGGGGAAGGGTGGCTGTGTTTTAGTCATCTGTGTATAACCATAGGAATTAAACATAATGTCTTGCAATTAGCAAATCCTCCAAAATTCTTAAGCATTCTGTCAAAACTGAATCTGAAAGTAGATGGCAGACATGAGACTATTATTGGAAAACTTATCATCACTGGAATTCAAAAAACTGGCTTTCTAGAAATACCACAGGCAAATCATTGCAGTGATTTTAAGGAAATACTCTTATTTTTCCCTCAGTCTTCCATGTATTGTCTGCAAAAATTATTCTTATAACACCAAATTTAAAAAGAAAAATGTCACAAAATGCCACAAGCCTGACATAACCAAACTGATCGAACATATACTGACAGTCCAAAAAAAAATTGTCTAGCTGGACTATGAATTCGAAAAGACAATCAAATGATTACTAAGCTTCCAAAAAGATTTAATATAATACCAGATGATCAAGGTACAACACAGACCCTATTGTCTAGGACTTAACCATCAAAAAATATCAGGGTACTTCAAAAAATTCATGGAAAGATTCATATTATCTTTTAATTGTATTTTCCATGAACTTTTTGAAGTACCTGTGTATAGATAAATAATCTACCAAGGATTATAGGGTAAAGGTGTATTAGGTGTGGACCAAGGGGTCCAAGAACTGTGTTTTGAGGTAGGATAATCTAAAAATCACCTATCAAGAAATTTCCTGATCTTCGGAAAGTTTATTTTGAAAATATCACGGAATATGAAATCAAACAACCTGATTAAAAAATGAGTAAAGAACCTGAATAGACATTTCTCCAAAGAAGATAAACAAATTGCCAAAAAGCACATGAAAAGATGCTTGATATCACAAATCATTAGAGAAATGCAAATCAAAACCACAATGAGCTACCACCTCACACCCATTAGGATGGTTACTATCAAAAAAAAGAAAAGAATTGCTGGCAAGGAAAAAAATGGAACCCTTGTGCATTGTTGGTGGGAATGTAAAATGATGTAGCCACTATTGACAAGAGTATGGCAGCTGGCAGTTTGTCAACAAATTAAAAATAAAATTACTACTTGAGACAAGCAGTCCCACTTCTGGGGCATATACCCAGAAGAATTCAGAGCAGGATCTTGAAGAGATATTGTACACCCATATTCATAGGAGGCTTATTTGCAATAGCCAAAATGTGGAAGCAACCCAAGAATCCATCAGAGAATGAATAGATAAACAAAATGTTGTATATACAGACAATGGAATATTATTCAGCTTTAAATAGGAGGGAAATGCTGACATGCGCTACAACATTTATGAACCTTATGCTAAGTGAAATAAGCCAGTCACAAAAGGACAAGCACTTTAGATTTCACTCACATGAGGTACTTAATCAAATTCAGACAAAGAATTGTGGAAAGAGAAAACAGAATGACAGAAAGTAGAATGGTGGTTGTCAGGGACTGGGGGAAAGGGGAAATGGAGAGTTGTTGCTTAATGGGTACAGATTTTCTGTTTGGGGAGATGAAAAACTTTGGAGATGGATGCTCGTGATGTATGACAATGAAAATATACTTAATACCACTCAACTGTACACTTAAAAATGGTTAACATGGTCAATTTTACATTATGTATATTTTACCACAATTAAAAAAAAAATAACTTTTTTAAATGTCAAGGAACATGACAGAAATTTTATAACTATCTGTGACAAAACATTCAAGTTTTACTACTTTAGGCTAAAATTGTATAAATTCAGTATAGAAACATTGGCTGTTACTTATGGTTAGAAGCCCTGATTTGCTGCTGTTCAGCACATTACAGTAATTTTTAGGATGTTAGTTATGTACCTCATTTACACATAACCAAAACATAAGTACAGAAATATAACCAAAAAGATAATCAACAGCAGTGAACGGTACCTAATTTTTTGTACATTTAACTCCACTGACAATTAGCATTACACAGCCACAATAGTTTACATGATTTCCTGTTACGAACCCTCAATAACTAGCTAAAATTTGGATTTATGTTAAAGTGGATAAATAGCAATTATGCAGATGGACCAATGTAAGTACTATTTAGTAAATGCAGTTTATTAAAAAACTTCTTTTAAAACATGGGGTACACAGAGGAAAAAAATTATAAATTACACTCAAGAACTTACTTTCACCTTGACGTGTTATCTCTTGAAGTTTGCTTTGTAATCTCTAGGAGGTAAAAAGAATACAGGAGGTAAAAGAAACACTTCATATTTCTATCCACCAAATATTTGAATTAATATGTTTTAAAGGTAAAACCCCAAGAAACAACAAGGTGATTAAGAATGGTCTCTCTCTGTCATTCAGAACTGAATACTTACATATATAGAAAGCATAGCTATCAGCATGGGAAGGGACTCAAAAGATCAAGTATCACTTACTCTGTCCCACCTCCTCTTCTATTACACCACCACATACTCATCACTGATATTCTTTAGGCACAGTCATGAGGATTAGAATTTATCTGTGCTTTGGATAGGGAATAAAATTCACACTGGTTCTGAGAAAAAGAGGTAGGTTGGGTGGGAATAAAAAGAACATGACAAATTCATCCCCACAGGATAGGGCACAGCTATAGGTGTGATATTGCCTAAATATGTGGTTGCAGTGTCCACTGCTCTACTGAAATCCAGATCCTCACACACCCTTAACTGACATTCCAAAGGCTTCTTAATGTACATTGAAGCCACCGCCAATATACACCTTCTACCCCAAATTTGCTCCTTTTCTTGAGGTCCCTTATAAACTAAATAATCTTATAAGCTAAAATCATCAACTACTCCCTCTCATTCACTTCATACCATGATCAATAGCAGTCTTTATGAAACAAACAACATCATGTCAGTTCCTTGCTTGAAAACCTTTTAGTTGAGCCATGTGACAAGAGGATCAATCATAATTCTTCAGTGTGTCATTCAAAAACTGTCAAATCTGGACCTAGCCTTCGTTTCTAGCCTGACCTCGCTATACATTGTACGACTGAGCCTAGTAAAGCTGCTGGCACTCTTCTAGCAGTTCATGCTCCTTTGTATTCCCAATCCCTTGCAAATGATGGCCTTATTCCCTAGGAGGGTCTCCTGCTTTTCCTTCTCCCATCCATGCCAGGAGTATTTCTACTTATTCCTTAAAACGGTTCATGGTATCTTCAACAAATAAATTGCAAGGGAAAAAAAAAGATGTATAAGGGTTATTTACAGATTAAAAGAGATTAAGAGCCTACACAAAGCCTCTGTGGGGTATTCTTCCTGGCCTGTTTTAGAATCATATGGCTAGACAGAAGCCAATATGAAGCATTTTTTGATATAAATAGAACATCTATATTCCTATCTAGATGACAATATTTTTAAAAACTGATATACCATTTCACACCCATCAGGATGGCTACTATAAAAAAAAAAGTTTAAAATAAGTGTTAGTGAGGATGTGGAGAAATTGGAATCTTTGTGTATTGCTGGTGGGGAAGTTAAATGGCATAGCTGCTATGAAAAACAGTATGGCAGTTCCTTAAAAATTTAGAAATAGAATTACTATTTGATCCAGCAACCCCACTTCCGGGTATATGCCAAGAACTGAAAGCAGAGACTCGAAAAGATATTTGTGCACTCACAATAGACAAAGGTGGAAGCAACCCAACTGTCCACTGAAGGATGAATGGGTAAACAAAATACAGTATATATTAGGTCGTATGAGAACCCTTTTGGCCGCGCCCCATCATGGCACTGGCTACCCTTCTCTTCCGCCTTCTCCTTCCCACCGGCGCCACAATACCTTCCCGCCGGCGCGAATCGCATGCCAATCAGCCCGGACTCCCTGCGCCCGGCCCCTTAGCAACGCAATCCATCCAATCCCTGAACGCCCTTTGTCCTCAGCAAACCTAGCAGCTCTCTTCTAACCCTATAAAAGCAGACGTGCCCGCTGAATAAAAAACCTCCGGCGAGCTGCCTTGTGTTTGTGTCTCATCCTTTAACTGGTGCTGAATTTTATTCCTTTCAGAATATACATATAATAAATATTATTCCGCCTTAAAAAGGAAGGAAATTCTGACATGTGCTATAACATGGAAGAACCTTAAAGACATGATGCTAAGTGAAATAAGCCAGATACAAAAGGACAAAAAGGCTAGCTAATGTTAAAAAGACTGAGAATAACAAATGCTGATGAAGATGCAGAGAAAGGGGAACCCTCCTACACTGTTGGTGGTACTGTAAAATGGTGTAGCCATTATGGAAAATGGTTTGGAGGTTCCTCAACTTCAGATACAACTCCCACATGACCCAGCTCTCCCACTGCTGGGTATATACCCAAAGGAATGGAAATCATCATTTGAAGGGATACCTATAATCCCAAGTTTATGCAGCGCTATTTACAATAGCCAAGAATTGGAACCAGCCTAAATGCCCACTATCGGATGAGTGGATAAGGAAAATGTGCTATATTTTTACAATGGAATACTACTCTGCTATAAAAAAGAATGAAATACTGCCATTTGAAGCAACATGGATGAACTTAGAGAAAATTATGTTAAGAGAAATTAGCCAAGCACAGAAAGAAATACCGCATGGTCTCACTTACACGTGGGAGCTAATAAAAATAAATAAACAAACAAATAAATGGGAAAAAAAAAAAAGCACAACAATCACAGTAATTCCTTGAACTTGTTAAGAGAAGAGAACCGAACTGATGTTGCCCGGGGTGGGAAAGGGAGAAATTAGTAAAGGGCCACAAAAATCAACTACATTGTATAATGATGAATTTTTAAAAATTAATTTTTTTAAAAAAGGACAAATACTGTATGATTCCAGTTATGTGAGGTACCTATATTAGCCAATCATAGAATCAGAAAGCAGAATGGTGGTTGCCAGGGACAGGGGTGGGAAAGACAGAGAATGTGGAATAATTTTTTAATGGGTCCAGAGTTTCAGGCTGGAATGTTGAAAATGTTCTGGAGATGGAGGGTGGTCATGGTTGCACAACAATGTAACTATACTTAATGCCACTGAACTGTACAGTTGTCCCTCAGTATCTGAGGGGGATTGGTTCCAGGATCCCCCTTGGATACCAAAATCCATGGACACTCAAGTCCCTCATATAAAACGGCATACTATTTGCATATAACCTATGGATGTCCTCCTGTATACTTTAAATCATCGCTAGATTACTTATAATACCCATTACATTGTAAATGTTATGTAAACAGTGTCATACTGTATTTTTTAATTTATATTATTTTTTATTGATATATTGTTAATTTTTATTTTTATTTTTGTCAAACACTCAGTTGAATCCTGGATGAAGAAGACATGGATACAGAGGGCCAACTGTACACTTAAAAATGGTTAAAATGATAAATTTTATGCTATATATTTTTAACAATTTTTTTTAATGGAAAGAAGATTTTTTTTAAAAAAAGTGATAGAACAACAAGTACTGGTGAGAAATGAGGAGAAAACCAGAACTCTTACACATTGTTTGTGGGAGTGTAAAATGGTACAACCACTTCAGACAGACGCTAACAATTTCTTATAAAACTGTTCTATGACCCAGCAATTCTGCTCCTTGGTATTTACTCAAGGGAAATGAAATAATTTGTGTACAAAAAGACTTGTACAAGAATGATCATTGCAGCATTATTCATCATAGCCAAAAACTAGAAATAGCCCAGGTGTCCATCAACAGGAGAATGGATAAACAATCTGTGGTATACTGGCACAATTACAGACTACTCAGCAATAAAAGGAATGAACTACTGATACATGCAATAACAGAGACAAATCCCAAAAACATTATGCTGAGTGAAAGAAGAATTACAAAAAAGAGGACCTACTGGATGGTGAAAAAAAAATCCCAGAAGTACAGTTTTCTCTGGCGGTGGGTAGGAGGGTGGAAAGACGGCAGTGAGCACTGACTGGGAACTAGAGTGAGAGAACTTGCTGGAGTCAAGGTAATGATCTCTATATTGTTAGAGACTTGGGTTACACTGTGTATGCATTTTTCAAAAACTCATCAAATGGTACATTTAAGATGTGTTTTTTTGTTATATGTAGATTTTACCTTTTAAAAAAAAGGACCACAAAGAAATATATTAAATTCTAGTCAATGATATGCATAATAAAAATATTCAGGGTTGTCTACAACTTACATTGAAACATAAAAAATTAAGATGGATAGAGAGATAGATGGAAATATGACAAAACAAATGTAGTAAAATGTTACCTGCAGCATTATTAAGAAGGCACCGTGAATATCTCCTTTCTTTTCCAACAGGTAAGCAGTAACTTCATGAAGCTGATACTTTTGAGTAATCTAGGAAAAAAGAGAAGATAAATATTTTTGCCCACAAATCTTATTTGTGGAGTAGGAAGATCTCATTGAGGATTTTAAAAAAGAACCCACGTGATAAATAACGAATTCATACTTTAGTAGTATGCTACTTTCCCACATAAGTTGCAAATATTTGATTTTCTAATCTTATACTGGCTCATCTGGCAGTTCTCATTAGAATAAATTCATTCATTTTTTCACTTATTTATTTAAAAAAAATTGTTACACACCTGAATGAGATATATCCCCCAGAGAAAAGATAACACATATATATAAACAGTAACAATATGAACTAAAAATTATTCAAGTGTAATTATACCCAAAATATTTAGAACAAAATGACAATTAAAATACAAATACAAAAATGACAAAAAAAATCAACTTGTGAGATCTTAATAAAAATTAATAAACTAAAAATTTCTAATTAGTAAAAAAAGAAATACCAGTTAAGCAAAGAAGATTAAAAAAAAGAAAAAAGTACAGAAAATGACAAAACAAACAATAGAGAAACAACAGAGAGGTTTAACAAACTCCAGTGCAGGTTCTCTGCAAAGATTAACAAAGTAAAAAAAACAAAAACAAACTTTCTTAGAAGTAAGAAAAAAACAGAGGCACAAATAATACATTAACAGGTTAATGAATCAAAGGAGAAAAACGTGATCTTCTCAATAAATACAGGAAAAGCATTTGGTAAAATGTAGCACCCATTCATGACAAAGATAAAAAACAAAACAAAACACTCTTACCCAAACTGGGAACAGAATTTTCTTAACTTAATGTAAGTTATCTATCAAAATCCTACAATAAATACCATATTTAAAGTAAAATATTAGGGCTGGCCCGTGGCTCACTTGGCAGAGCGTGGTGCTGACAACACCAAGTCAAGGGTTAAGATCCCCATACTGGTCATCTTTTAAAAAAAGATAAAAAATAATAATAATAAATAAAAAGTAAAGTAAAATATTAGATATATTCCCTTTTAAATCAAGAATACCACCAGAGAGCACACTATCACTGCTTCTATTCAACAATACGCTAGAGATCCTATACATTTCATAAGAGAAAGAAAAAAATTATAAAATTGAAATGAAAAAAACAAAACTGCCATTATTCTTAGAAAAAATTATTGTCACAAAAAATCTAGAAACTATTTGAACTAAAAAAGAATTCAGCTTGGTTGCTAGAAACAAAACAATGTTCAAAAATTAATAACTGCCCCTGCCACCCTGGGACCCCACCCGGGTCCTGAGACATGGAGCCAGGGTAAGCCAAACCCAGCTGCAACCAGGTAAAAAGCACACCAAAAACACAGTTTCCACGTGGGTAGCCCACCATAGCCACTGCAGTTGCCACGTCTGCCACAAAAGCAACTAGTTGCCATAGCAGTAGTCACAGCCACTGTGCAGATGGCATGCCAGACACTCAACTGCATTGACACAAAAAGAGTTACCAGCAGACACCAAAAAAAAAGAGAGAGAGAGAGAGATCCTCTGTCTCCACAAAGCACACTCCAGAGTAATAGAAGAAGCATCTGTTATATGATAATAGTGGGGGACCTAAACACATCTCTCTCAGTACTAGACAAATCATCTAGGCAACAAATCAACAGAGAAACAGGGAAACAATCTATCAGAAGGAGGGAACAAATCTATGGTTATTAGAGGGGGGAGAGGGAGTAGAATAGGGAGAGATTGGATAAGGGGCATAAAGAATAAGTATGATTTGTATAATGAATATGCTAATAAAATAATAATTTAAAAAGTTCATGGGGAAGAATTAGTAACATTCTAATACAGCAGCAGCAATCAATAAAAAAAAATGTCACTTCAAAAAATTTCCTATAGCAGCAGCAATCAATTAAAAAAAATGTCACTTCAAAAAATTTCTTTGTACAATGTTAACAAAAACTATAAAATATCTAGGAACAAATTTAAGAAAATATGTGCAAGAAACTTACATAAAAGTTATAAAACTACCAAAGAGCATAAAAGGCATTTTTACAAGGCAACCATATTCTTGAATGTAAAGAATCAATACCACAGATATGTCAATTCTCCTTGACTTAATCTATAATAAACCCAATGTATTTTTTAAATCAAAATTCCAGAAGTTTTTTTTTTTTCGTAAAGGAACTTGACAATGTGATCCCTAATTTTATGTGGAATAGTAAGAGGACAAAAGTAGACAAAGCATTTTAAAGAAAAAGAATGAGAAAGGAGGTCTCTTTTTCCAAATAATAAATCTATTATAAAGTCACATTAATTAAAACATGTGGTACAGGTATAGGGAAAGAAAAATAACTGAAAGAACAGAACAGAACCCACAAACAGATCCACATACATTTAGGTTTTTGGTATATAGTGTATGGCATTGAAAATCAGTGAGGAAAGGATAATAAGATGCCGCATGGACCATTAGCCATCATGTCAAAAAAATGATATAAATCCCTCTCTTTCTTGATCAGCCTGCAAAACTAAATTCCTGATGGATTAAAAGCCTAAATGTAAGAAGCTAAACTATAAAACTCATAAGAGAATACCTTTATACCATCAAAATAGGAAAAGAAATAATATACACATACACATACGCCTTAAAAGAAAAGACTGATAAATTAAAATAGAAGTCATAAAAACCAACTTAAAAGATGTGCCATAATAGATCAAAAGAAGGCATCTCCAACACAAAATCAGCAAAGGATTAGCGATCCAGAAATTAGAAAAAACTTCTAGAATTCAATAAGAGAAGGGCAAAAACTCAATGAAAAAAGGGGCAAATAATACAAATAGATAATTCAGAGAAAAGAAAATCTGAAGGATCATTAAACATATGGAAAGATGTTCACTGTCATGAGTAATCAATGATACCCATCACACTGACAAAAATTAAGAAGTCTAAAAATATTAGGAATCGGCAAGGATGTGGAAAATAACAAATATCAAACTGCTGATAAGAACACAAACACTTAAGAAATTAAGTTGGCAATGTTAGTAGAATTATGCTACTTTATTGTCTAAACAATTCCAATTCCAGGTGTATTTCTTAGAAAAACTTCACATAAGCACATAAGAAGATAGGTACTATACCAGGATGTATACTATAGCATTGTTTATAATAGCAAAAGATTGGAAACAACCTAAATGTCTATCAACAGGGAAATAAACAAACTGGCATATTATTTACGACCATTAAAATCAATAAAGTAGATCTACATGTATAAATATTGATTAATTAAAAAAAAAACATTTAGTAAAAAAAGTAATTTGCAATAGGATATGTACTGTATGATATCATTAATACACATTTAAAAAACATAAAACTGTATCATGTATTTTATAAGTATATAAATATATAGGAAAAATTAAAAACAGGGATTGTAAGGATAAACACCAGCTCAAACTGGTGATGTCTTCAGGGGACACAGAGAAGAGATAAAGAGTGCTTTATTTTTAAAACAAACCAAAAACAAGACAACAATGATCTGAAGCCAGTATGGCAAAATGTTAATAACTATAAAATTGAGTTGGTGGGTATTACGTATGTATTTGACATTCAACACATTTCTATGTATTTGGTATATTTCAGAATTAAAGATTTTTTAAAGTTTGTGGGCAGTTCAGGACGTGGATGCATAAAATAGTTTACTGTTTCAAGAATGCTGATAGCAAAGGAAAAGAGATACAATAGCAGCTTAAAAAATAAATTTTAAATGGGGAACACACTAGCTTCTTACAGTAGACTACAATATGTGTGTGTATACATTTTCATTTGGAAACAGGAGAAAACAAGGGAAGGTAATCAAGGCAATGAGTGTGCTAAAGCTAGTGGTTTGCAATTTAGCTTAAGTTTTATGGCACAACAGGACTATTTAATCATCAGTCTACAAACAAGAATGTGGTCTTTTCCTTTCAATATTTCTACTGTGTTCCTTTTCCTAGGTTTATTGTGTTGGATACAATTTCTATAAAGTTCGATTAATAACAATGATGGGCATCTACTGTTTCTGACTTTAAACAGAATAAATAGAGAAGCAGTTTATCATAGCAATTAAGAGCATTCACTATGGAGTCAGACTATCTGTGTTCAATCTCAGTTGCTACCACTTACTAGCTATAAACTTATGCAAGTGACTTCTTATATGAGTTTCCCTTTGCTCATCTGTCAAATAGGGAATGTTTAGGACAAGTTTATTTTTGTCTTTTCTACATTGTTGGTCGTACCTGAATAGTTTCTTCTAGGCGGTAGCACTCAAGGACTTGCAGTGTCTCTATAACTTGGTTTGGGTTGAACTGACACAACAGCTCAATGAACTGCTCTGTAATACAGGGAGATATTTGCAGCAATTCTTGATTTACATGAATACCTTCCCTGAAAACACAAAAGGCAAGAGAATACTAAATTGTAGCATTATTTAATTACATCTACAATTAAAGGCTACAGATAAAAAGTATATTATGTTAAAAACAGAACTACCTTCTGGTCAGGTAAAAATGTGAATTACAAGTCTTAACGTTACTTAGGTTATTCAGGTGAACTGTACTTTACATCACAGGCATTCTAAGTTGTAATGTTTCTCAGTTTACATTGAATAATTAAGGAAATGTTATTCAGTTGAGACACTCCTAAATCACACCAAAAGTTATACTTTGCTCCAAAAGAAACAATTTGATCCATAAGTAACTATATATAATAAACCATCTTCTAGGTTCAGCAACTTTCTCTAGTATACTTCCCTCATAGCACCGATCACACCACATTGTAATTCTTTAATTATCTATCTTCTCCAAAAGACTATAAATTCTGTGAGGGTAGACACCATGTATCTTCTCACTAATGAATTTTTGAACTCAACCAGTGTCTTGCATGTAGTGAGGGCTAATTTTTTTGGTTGCAGTTAAAACAACAAAAAAAGTGATGAATAGTAAGATACACAATATTTTGGGGTTCATTTCCTTTGTATGCCAGCTACTAACAAAGCCTGCTACTCATACTACCTAAACTGAAGCTTTTGAAGTAGAATATTAGTTTCATGATGCTGGGCACTCAACTACCGGTGGCCAAAAGGAACTATTCACAAAATCAACTGTTGCTCACAGGAGAGCTAAATCATCTCTCTAGCTTCAAAAGAAGTCAGTTCCTTCTGAGAGTCCTATTTTCTCTTCAGAATTCCTCACTAAAGCTCCATATATAAAGAACTGGAATAGAGTTAATAAGATACAAACATGATTGCTTGGGAGATGAGACTTCTGAAGAAAGGTTAAGGTAGACAGTCTAAAGCAGCAGTTTCCAGCTTTTCTCATATCATGGCACACAAAAATGGCAATATTTGTATGGCCCACCCGAGTGAAATAAATTGTTCATGGGCGACTCTGGTTGCCCCCAAAGCTAAGAGGACCAGACTCTAAACACACCTATGACCATGTTCAGTGCACTAGTAGCCACAGGGTGAGAGTCTATGGATTCCAGAGAGAACAACTTGAATTTTATAATTATTGTATAAAAGATGGTAAGTAGCACTCTTATTTTTACTAATAAGATGCTTGAGTTACAGAAAGAAGAATTAAATGTAGACAAAGGACATCTTTGCTAACTTATGAGCTTTGTGATACTTAGTCCTGACTAGAGGCTGAGTTACAAACTAAATAAGTTCTGCTGCTTGGGGCTTTCAGTACTTGCTGATGGGCTAATTCAGTATCTCTTCAAATTGGCTGTAAATTCCAAGGATCAAGTTGTCAATTTTTTTTTATTTTAGTAACTCACAACTGCCTTTATTATACAACTTTGTTAAGTGACTGGCTATTCCCTATGTATACCACCACCACCTTAGTTCTTATCATATAACTTGAAAATTATCTAAGTGTCTGTGTTCCCAACTACACTATAAACTCAATGAGAGCAAAGACCATGTTGCATTTATCATTGTTTCCCCAGCACTAGCACAGTCTTGGTAAATGTAAACAGAATTGAACTGAACTGCCTGGAAATAGTGCACTAGACTGCCTTCAAACAGAGGGAAACATAGAAGAGTGAAAATTACAGGGACCAGGGCTATAACGTCAGAGAAAGCTAGAAGTAAATCCTGTCCAAAAGCTCTACATAGAGAAGTTAGAAGATGCAAATGATAAATCCAGGGAAATGGTCTCTGCCCCTAGTTCCTAATACACAGCTCCTAAAACCCTTGGAATTTCCAAAGTGATAAGCATCTTTTTGTATGCCAATGAGATGACTGGGGCTCCCAGATAGCCTCTGAATGAGGGGCTCATTGCCAGGGGAGCCAACCTTGTGATTACAGGGTTGGAACTTTCATTCCCACCCTTTGACCTCCAGAGAGGGGAGAGGAGCTGAAGGTTGAGTTGATCACCAATAGTCAATGATTAATCAATCATGCCTATCTAATGAGGTCTCCAAAAAACCCAAAAGGACAGGGTTTGGAGAGCTTCTGGATAGCTCAACACATGGAGTTTTTGGAGAGCAGTGCATCCGAAGAGGGCACAGAAGCTCTGCACCCCTTTCCACAAACCTTGGCCTATATATCTCTTCCATCTGCCTGCTCATCTGTATCCTTTTGTAATATCCTTTATAATAAACCAGAAAACATAAGTAAGGTGCTTCTCTGAATTGTGTGAGCTACTCTAGCAAACCCAAGAAGGGGGCTGAGGGAACCACAATGTATAGCTAGTCAGTCAGAAGCACAAGACACAACTTGGGACTTGTGATTGGCATCTGAAGTAGGGGGCAGTCCTGTGGGACTCAGCCCTCAACCTATGGGATGCGACACTAACTCCAGGTAGATAGTGTCAAAACTGAGTTAAACTGTAGACAACCAGGTGGTGCCCACTGGAGAATTGCTTTGTTGGTGACCACAGCAGTTTGGTTTTTCCTATCTCTTATCGGAGGGACCAAGTTTGGGGCTCAAGAGAACACTACTAGGTAAAAGAGAATGGGAATGTTAACCAATGTTTCTCCACATTCAGGTAAGACACAGTACTTTCCAAATGTCTATGCCAAATTGTGGGTGTTGTTAATATTTTATCTACATCAGACTTCTGTTACTATGTTTTATAAATGCAAGATTATGGAGCAGATTCTTATTAGACATAAGAATCTACCAATGAATCACAGTACTTAATTCTTTCCAGAGCACTTACTGACAAAATCATTCACAAGAACTGAAGTTTTAAATATGTATCAAATCAAGCAAATCACCCAAATGAAGAGATTTTGATGCATTCGTTTGTGAGGGAAATAATGTGTCTGATGGGATATGATCGGGCAACATCAATATAATCAAATCTTTAATAAATAAGCTGTAGCATTAATGAGTTTACATTTTTTTCTTATTGTTGGTTATCAGTTTTGCACATAAGTATAATTTGTTATTTCCATTTTGCAAAGCTATTTCCGTTAGTCTTCTATTAACTACATGCTTTGCTATATACCCACTACTAACTTTAATGGCTGTCAAAATTGTGTATTTTAGACCTAAACCTTATCTACTCTTTCGGGAATCTCTATTTTAATAACAGCATTGGCTATGAGGATATAAACATTTAAATATATATTAAAAGTGAGAATTTCACAAAGCACACATGCTTTTTTTGTCTATTTTAAAAGAAAGCGTATGTGGGTGTTGTGACATACACACACACCCACATGCCCCAAAATTCAGGTTGGAGAATATATCCACTCTCACTCAGGTTGTAAAAATTATTTTAAATCATAACCTTATACATTTTTTTTGTCTATTTTAAAAGAAAGCGTATGTGGGTGTTGTGACATACACACACACCCACATACCCCAAAATTCAGGTTGGAGAATATATCCACTCTCACTCAGGTTGTAAAAATTATTTTAAATCATAACCTTATACATTGGACCATTTCTGTGGAAGCATAAAAATACATATCACTTTTGAAAAACTTGCATTAAAATGATTCTAAAATTCATATTCTGACTTCCTAATATTTGACAAAGAAAATAAGTATTGCACTAGAACAAAAAAATGCTGGTCTAGTTCTTCTCCCTCACTCTAAAAACTACACAAACAAGCTAGTCTAGATTATTCTTCCATATCTCTCAGGAACAGGATTTCACAATCTCCCTCAGTTCCTTGTTCTGACAATTTAGGGCCATTTCAGCTTAGTCTAAATCCTGTCTACTTGATTTCTCTGCTCAATCCCATTCTCTCCCTCAAGTCATAGATGGAAATGGAAGAAATAGAAGACAGGCAGTTCTGTAATCCTACTATACAGACATTTTAAAAATTAAACAGTTTCAATGGGTGGGGACATGGGGTATAAAAACAATGTCTGGTAATTTGTATCTCATGAATATTCATAATAATAAAAAATAAATTTAAAAATAAGATAAAATAAATAAATGAATAGATAATAAAATTACATAAAATTAAAGTTTCCATAAATGGTTTTAGAAATAATGCTCAGCGATAATTTTACTATAAATAGATTTTATTATAAATCTATTATGATATCCACATAAAATTCTGAACATACATAGAACACAGACTTCTGGTTTTTGGTCTAGCAAGTAAGTAGCTTGGAAGTCATCACTCCCTCCCTCACAAGAAAAAAGCTGAACAAACTGAAAATCGACTCTTTTTAGATCCATTCACGAACTGAGGGCAAAAGCAAACTACTGCCCCCCAAATTAGAGAGAGACAGACAAACTGATACAGAGAATCACAGTTCACTAAAGCAGAAGCTCAGGAGCAGATACTGTGCCTCCCAGTATTGGGGTAGGGAAACTTAAAACTGTACTTGACAAATTGGCAGAGATTTGCTGTGGACAAGCTTGAGAGTTAGAAATTCCAGGGGGGCCAGTCTTGGGAGAGGGTCCCCACACTTTTGTTAGTTTGCCTCCAGGAGGTCTATCAGGTTCTGTGAAGATCAGAGAAAAATCTTGTGTTTTCAGCAGGTGGAAGGGAGAAGTAGCCATTTTGAAATATACCCAGAGCATTTTGTTCTTAACAAGGCATGCTGTGATGGGCTGAATTATAGCCCCTCCCATTCATATGTTGAAGTACTAACCCCCAGTATTTCAGAATGTGACCTTATTTGGAAGTAGTCTTTGCAGATATAATTAGTTAAGTTAGGATGAGGTCACAGTGGAGTAAGGTGGGACCTTAATCCAATATAACCAGTATCCTTATGAGAAGGGAAAATTTGGATACATACACACAGAGGGAGAACACCATGTGAAAAAAAATGAAGATTGAGATTGGTGTGATGTTTCTACAAGTCAGGAAATGCCAAAGACTGCGAACAATCCACCAGAAGCTAGGGGACAGGCATGGAACAGATCTCCCTCATAGCCCTCAGAAGGAACTAACCCAGTAAACAACTTGATT